CTCATGAGTCCTGACTGCCACCATGTGTCACCCAGGCGGGGCTGCATTTCAGTGGTAGGTGAGGTGTGTCCCCTCCTGTACAGTGCATTAAGCACCCTGAGAGCCTTCGGAATGAACTTCTCCATATAAATGCAAAAAATGATGTGTTTGATGTGTGTTACATGGAATGCAAGACACAGAACTCCAGGTGGATCAGCTCTTCAGGCATATGAGAAGGTTACAATGTTAAACCGTTATTTAACTGAGCCACCCCAAAGTACAATACACAATATTTCATCACTGCAGTCCTTAAAATGAGGGCCTGATGGGTTTGCAATCAGGGTAAATAAAGGTATCACAGAATGTAGAGCTAGGATTCCTCTGCCGGCCGGGGGATATGAACCGTCAACCTTCCAGCCACAGGCGCAGATCCTTACCCACGGGGCCACCCCTCCGCCATTTCCCGAGCAAGGTTCAGCCTCACCGTTTATCTGAACATCGATGAAACCGGGAGCAATGATGCTGTCGTGGCAGTCCACCTGCGCGTCCGCAGAGCCCTCCTCATCGAAGAACAGCTTCTCCGGGTTCAGGATCTTGCCCTCCCGGACCCACAGGTCCTCCCTGTCGCAGGACAGAAGAGCCACAGAGCTCAGCATTGAGCATTTTCGAAAAGCAACGGCGTTCGACAAACCAGGGACAACTGGGGGATGGGAGCGTTGCACCGATTTTGGAATTTTGTTGCTGACCAGCAGGTCTGTCAAAAAGCACGTGTTCGAAAAATCACTTTCCACATGCTAAACCCTCTCACTTCTTAACATTTAAAAGCTGACATTATGATAACTGGAGCCAAACTTTGGTGAGAACTGTAATCCCAACCTCCTGCCGGCACAAAAATATATTTTGGACACAAATTCAGCTGCAGGTTGCAACACAAAAAGAAATCTGGTGAAAACTCATCACGTGGATTTAAAATACCTTACAGCTGGTATTTAAAAGGTTCTGACTGATTTTAAAGTAATTAGGGACCATTTTCAACTCAGTGAATTAAAGGGTCTAGGATTAGGGTTAAGGTTAACTAGGATTAGGGTTAAGGTTTCCACAAGGCAAAGACAATGTGGATGCCTTTGCTGTGCTTTTAGCCAAACCTTGATCTGTTTCTGAGACCACCAACCCTGCTAAAAGCCTGCTGTGGCTGGCACTGCCGAGTTATCACTAGGTCCCTGCTTTATTTCTGACACTGTAGAAATGAAGGATCTTGTAAAATTCGTAGGCTTCGACCACAATTTCTAGTAGTGCACCAAGACCCTGTTGCAAAACCCCAAACGTCTGCATGTCAGCTCAGAAGTTGACTTTCACTTCACTGCACTGCCAGTGGAAGGGATTTAGAGCATAGCTCTAGTGTTTTTTTCCCCACTTGCCTCCATAGCTGCAGTGAGGTACTGTAAATCTAATCCACTATCAGTATATCCAAGCATTAATTTGTGCTGGATCGAATTATCACTCCAAACCAGTACCTTTCTGTATAATACCCAGTGAGAATATCACCCATTAGTGTAAATTAGCTGCTGCGATATGGCTGCTTGGTTCCAGGATCGAGCTGGACTGTGGCCTCACTCACCTCTGCAGCTGGTGGTCCTTCAGGATCCTGCAGTTAACGAACTGTGTGATGGGAGCGTCCGACACAGACTTATTAGAAGGCATCACTCCCAGAAACCCTTCTCACGCCTGCCGGGAGGAAGACACACTGCTCAGAGCTACAGCAGCAGCGAAAAAGTCAACCAGCGTACTTCACATTTGACCCAAAGAAGGCTCCACATCCGAAACATTGTGTTTCTTTTCTTCTCTTGTCAGCATGGAATGAGCCTTAACTTGTTCCTTTGCAGCCTACGCATGCTAACGCAGCTACCCACCTGAAGTACTTCACATTCGTTTGGGGGCTGCTAAATTTCAGAGTTCAACTCCTTGCCTCCTTTGCTTTCTGCAAAAACACAACACCTGTGATCTCAGAAGAGCATAGGCCGACACCTGTGGTGTTGAGGAGAAACAGGCTAGTTTTCCCATTTGCTCAAGGACAGCTACAGCCTGGGTCCCTTTATTGACCTGGTTAACCAATCCACTCCTCCGCAACATGAGTATCCCATACAGATAACATGCAGAAAAGTGGATCACCACCAACAGATACACCCATCTGCAGGCTTTGGTTATGAAATACCCACATGACTCAGACATGTAGAGTTTTTCATGCCTCATGATATCTATGGATTTTGAAACCAAAGTCACTGACAGTCTGGGCAAATTCTTAAGTCTGATACCTCATTCCGCACACTGGACCTAGAACATTCGACTGCCCTCCAGCTATCTCATTTCCCTGATGATCCTACAACAGAAGGGAACGAAGCCCTACCTTCTAACACAGAGGCTGTGACATACGGGACAGCAGGGCAGGAAAGGGCAACAAACTGGATTCGCAGCCGAGTCAGAAGACCTGCAAGCAGTCAAAAGAAGAGAAAAAAAAACTTAACACACACAACTGTGAAAGTAAAAAAAAAAAACCTTTGGGTTTTAAGGCTCTCAGAACCTCTACTGTGTGTCACACCTGCCACCAATTCCTTGCAATTTTGTAACCTGACAATTTATCGCTGGTCAAAGAAAGATGAAAACAGTGTTCAGGGATTTTAATTACGCACATAAATACCACTGGGCTCTCCGGCTGTCTCCACAATACTCCAATGGATCCTACTGACCAGGTTACACATTGGGTGTCTACCGATCACTAACAACGATAGGAGCAAAACCTTCACTGGACTGATAATGACACCTGTGATACAGCACTGAAGTGGACTTCACCCATTCTAAATAAAATCTGGGCTCGCACAAATGCCATGTGGCGTATCTGACATCATGTAACAGTCAGTGAGATGTGGCACATTTCATCACTGGTATAAACCAGGCCGCATACAACAGAATAGTTCTAAGATCAAAAAAGCACTTATGTTGATAGTGGTTAATTGGTTCTGCAGCTTTCTCTCTCCCTGATCGAAAGGCATTATTTACTATTGTAAGGCAGACCTTGAACTGTTTTTCAGACCATAAACCCTCTGTAATTGAGGTCTGCATGATAAGTCGTGTTGTTAGCCTTACTGTTGCACTGGAGTTTGGAACATTTCAAGCACACAGCTCTACATCGTCAGTGCGTCGATAGAAAAATAAAACCTTTAAAAATATTTACATTTTGAATTCCTACAAAATACGTTGATACAGTATACACAATGCATCTAGAACATAACGAGGCTGAAAAGTATTAAAAAAAAACAAATACGCATGAATTAAAACACATCACAAATGAGTTATTCAGTGAATATGACTATTTAAAATGCGGGGTAAATTATTCCCGGTGTGACTGTTACAGCCCCAAGCAACTATTGCTCCAGGCCGCTGTTCCAAACCCCTGATCACCTATGACAAAGGTTAGGTTTCACTCAGCACAGGAAAAGACAAACCAAAATGTCTAGGATTAACTACCGGGAGCTTTCCTCTGACTCCGCAAGAAGAAAAGAACTTCATACGCACAGGAATTGTTATATGTACTCTTGTTTGTATTGTAATGTTTGTTCTTTTGTTAAGCATAAATAAATAAAAAAATTAAAAAAATACACACAGGAAACCGACACAAGCAGAGAGTGTAACTGACGAATGAAGGCCTGCCCGGCGTCCTTTCAAAAAACCCGTCTATACAACCGATCGATTAAAGAAGAGATACAGAGGCACGTCTGTCACCTGTCCGTGCACCGTCTCTCGTCACCTCCGAGCTCAGTACATAGGTGCCCCGCAGTCGCCTATCCGGAGCCCGAGTCATGTGAGGAAAGTTTTTCGGTCAGCTGAGCCGCACGGCACTTCCCGGAGGAGCCGCTGTGAACCAATGGCAGCGCGGCTGTGGTGTCTGCACAGCCGTCCGCCTCCGAGACACGCAAGGGGGCAGGCGAAATCATCCTTTGGATTTGCAGGACTTGTAATAGCCGATAAATCGGAGGAAGCAGTTAGAAAACGGATGGATGGACAGTCCTCTAGCTGTTTCAAACCCATGGTGGTGAATTCACGTGTGGGTGTGTAAAAACGAAATTGGTATTATTGCAGAAAACTCCATAATAAAACTGTGCCTTTGCCTTTCTTGTAATTACTTAGGCAAAGGATTTTATCATTCTTTCTCGTCTTATCGCTGTTAAAGCCTGTGTATCAAAACATAACCTTGTGATGTCTTTTACTACAATGTTAAGGGAGACACCGAAGCTATTGAAGTGTATTTCTTTAAGAAAATACATTTTAGATCACCATATAGATCGTTTTTCTTAAACCCAATCACTAAATGAAGTGCATTGCAATTCTTAAAACATATTTTTCACCGAGGAAAGAAACCATACATTTCACTCGCTAAATGCTCGTCCCCAGTCGTCTCTTAAGGATATGTTTTCAACAATGAACACCGGCTTTAGCTAAAGACGCGTAAAAAAAGCGAATATTTTCAGTGTAAAAATACTCCGCTAAAAAAAAAAAAACAAATCACAGAAGTTCTCTGAACCCGAGAGCGCTACAATATCACTGAAGGCATCACACTGAGTATAACACGCAAAGGGGTCATTTCCTTTTTTAGATACTTTCATTATTTGTTTTCGGAAACAATAAAAACAATCATCACAAACGAGAACAAAACAATCCATCCTGACCTCAACTTCTTACCTACTTGTAGTTCCAGACTGGATAATTCCATTCAATTGGGAAACTCAACTCGATTCAATGTCTTTTTATATACTGTAGCACCTTTCACAACAAGGTCGCCCCAAGGCGCTTAACAAAGCAAGTGACCGTGCATGTTGTGAATACAGAACAGAAAAGACCAGAAGACAACGGAGGAGAGGAACCAAAAACCCAACAAAAACCTCTAGGGGTCCAAGGTCAACTGGCTGCCCAACCCCTTTGGGCAAACTAATGGCAGACGTTTTAGGTACTGTACATGCCTGATAGATTTTCCTGCTAAAAATGAAGGGTGTGAAAACATTTACGGTAGCACAAAAGATAGATGCAACATCCTCCATTGACATACCCACCCATAAAAAAACACGAGTCTGTTTTGGTTGATTTACGGCTGCATATTAATTACGTGTAAAACGCAATAACAAGGTGTTGCAGGAATTCGTCGTGCGTGCCTACGAAGCACGTCAAGTGGAAACCCAGCCAGCAGCTGTCTGCGAGGACACATTCCCACGCCATTCTGTGCAGTGGAGAGTGGGACCCGTGTCAGTGGCCTGAACACCACGCGTGACAGTGTGTGCAACAATGAGAACGGGGCCGCATCTCTTGATGAAATTCGCCCCTGGAAGACGAGACCGAGGTGAGAATTCCGAGGAGGACACGTGAAACCTCATGGTAGAAAAATTCAATATCTTAGTCAAGGGTCACAGAGTTAGCTTTCCGTTATTTAAATCACGAATGGGGAATTCTGAGGGGGGGGGAGGTGAGAGAGTGTCTTTATTATCCCCGTGGGGGGCAAGTTGTTTTACAGTAGCAGTGTTGGTGTACAGACAGACAGAAGAAGAAAAACGACGGGAGCAACAATGTATACATACATATTTGCATAGAAGTCAAGTGTTAAGTAACGATACGGCTACAAGTATGAATGAGATCTTGAATCTGTTGGTTTTGGAGTTGGGGAGTCGGTATTTGCGTTCTGATGGGAGTAACGAGTAACTGGAACTT